TGACTGGCTGCCAACTGGACTTAACTCCATTCACCACTACTCTCTGGGCTCAGCCACCCAGACAGTTTTTTACCCAGCAAAGAGTACGCCCATCCATGCCATGAGGTGCCAGCTTCCCAAGGAGAATGCTATGAGAGACGGTGTCAAAGGCTTTATTGAAGTCTGCATTTCCAGCACATGCCACCCTGCATAAGCAAACGTCAGAGCGCTTTACCAAAGGGCAGGCTTACAGCAAGCCAGCAAGGGCAGCGGTTCACAGAGGAGGCACGACACCCGCAGAGCCAGGCCTCCGCCCGCCGCCCTCCGCCCTCCCTTGCCCTCAGCCAGGCCACAGCCACGCCCCCCCCAGCAGCCAATGAGGATGAGGAGGGAGAAGTGTGCAGCCAATAGGAGCGCAGGGCTGCCGGGAAGGGTGGTGCTGGGGTGGGGGTGTTAACTGCGCCGCCATTGGGGCAGCAGGGCCATGAGGGTGGGAAACGGGTCTCACTGGAGAGAGGGTGGTTAAAAAGTTAAATTTTGCTTTGCCTGACATTCTAAATGCAGAATGATTCCGTTTTCCCTCTGCCCATTATATTGTGACGCGCAGGTAAACATGGCTGCGCAGGCCGTGCGGTCGCAGCTTAGCACCCCTGGGCCTACACAAGCAGTGCAGGCAGGGAAGGGGCAGGCTGTCAGAGGGCAGGCGGAAAGCAGATTCCTGGAGCTGCAAAGCCGACCTTTTCTGGAAGAGAGAGAGCAGATCAAGGGTGAGACCAGCAAACTCTTACCAGGTTCCTTTTTCTGCTCTCAGGAAAAAAAAAAAGGTGCCTACTGACACCATTAAGAGCAGGGATGTAAGCAGTCAACATAGGCCTGACTTATGCCTGGTCACACAGATAACCTGCTCTAGTTAAAGCTGTCCCTGCTCGCTGCCAGGGGTTTGGGCTAGGTGACCTTTAAAGGTCCCTTCCAACCCAAAGCATTCTATGATTCTAGATCAGGTCACCAAGAGCCCCATCCAACCTGACCGTGAATGTTTCTAGAGACGGGGCCTCCACTGCCTCTCTGGGAAACCTGTTTTCACATAAAATGCTCAGTCACCTGGCCGCACTGAGCAACGCCAAAATTGATGAGGTTAGAAAGTTGTTCAGCCATCGTAAGTATCATTTGATACGAGAAAACAACTTGCCACTTCTCATTATGCTCTTAACTTACTTTTTTCAACTAGTTTCTAGTTGAATGTACATCAGTGCAGTTAAGGCCAAGGGCCAAGTGAGTCTAACAAGTTATTTTCGCAACATATTTCCTCATATCCCAGTGGCCTACTATTTTGAAGGAGAAAGAGGAATCAAACACTGTATGCAGAGGCAAAACAAGTTGCATATGTAACAAGAACAAATTTTCAGATACTATCGTTCTGGCTTAAACATACCACGTATTATGGATTAGTCTACCATTGTCTGGCAAGTCATTTTAGAGAGGTGGTGGGGGTTCTGGGGGTGTTTGGTTGGTTGATTGTTTTTTCTGTTTGGGGTTGTTTTGGTTGGTTTGTTTTTTTTTTTTTTTTAAGAGAGCAAAACAAATTTTATTTTTCCTACGCAACCACCACTGTTCCTAACCCAGTGGTGGCAAACATTCCCCCTGAGAACAGAACACTGGTCTCCTTATACCAGACACCTGAATGGCTTTAAGTTCTATTCATGGTCCTATGCAAATTCCACAACAAAGGTAAGTATCAGATGTGTGCAATAATGATATTCACATATCAGGAGCTATTTTCAGCATTAATCTGTTAAACTATGAACATTAGTCCCTATCCCCACCAATAAAAAAAGGCTTTGTTGGACAAGACAGTTGTATTGAATTCACTTCCTTTTATTGCAGTGACATCCCCCTGGTACAAAGTATTAACTGCAATAATTACATTAAAACATTAGAAAAGCATTTGTGTGTGACAGTTACAGTACAGTATCAAATCTTACATCTTCAAACCAAGTGGGCTATTACCCACAAACGCTCAAATCTTTAAATTATTTTCAGTTATTTTTAAATATGTAATGTCAGAAAAAGCATATAAAAAGAATGTATGTAAAAGGAAACCTAAATACAAGTGAACAAATAAATAATTGATTTTCTCCAGCTATACTGTCTTTCTAAACCCATACAAAAAAACCTAATCTATAGAACATATGAATTGCCATGTGTAAGTGATTTAATTTTTCAAGTAATTAATAATGATTGGAACACAACTAAATTTGGCATCAAAATCAAAGGAGAAGTTGGAGTGACTGCCACTAACTGACATCTGTTGCAAACAATTACCATTAACTGTTGAAATTTTAGTGTAGCAAATAAACTTGAAACTTGACCTTGTGCCTAGCGTTAGCGGACTTCTGAGACTGCATGTGAAAAGCATCCTACGTTACTTCACAGACATTACCTTAACTATCCCCATATGAATATTTAGATATATTTTATATAATTTTATACACATATATGCATGTATACACACACTTCATTTGGTTTCTGTGTTACAGATCACAAGCAATGGTTTCCTGAATGGGCAAAAAACCTTTTAAATAAGTGTACCTGTGCACTTTTTTTTTTTTTAAAGATAGCAGCACTAAATCCATGCCTTACTGTCCATCTGTTGAAAAGAATGTAACCCACAAAGCAAGAAGAAACATGGCAATGATTCCATATTCACAATGTGACATCCTTATCCCCTAAAAAACACTGTAAAACCTGTAATAGATATGTTTGTAAGTTTGATCCCCACCCCCTCACCTGGAAGGAAACAGCACTTTTACTGCAAACTGTCTTGTCTTATAATGTTTATCTTAACAAGCTGGGTTCATGCTGGCATCAGTTATCTCACACTTAGCAGCAAAACATGCATGTTTGTTTTTGTTATTTTTTTTTTTTTTTAAAGTGAAATGATTCAATAGTCTCAAATCCAATTGACAGAAACAGCAAAAAAAAGTTTTGCGGTTTACCAAGAACTTGATGAGTGTATACTGCACTGTCTAGAATATTTTTATCTTTAATCACAACAAATTGAAGCTCTACCTTGCCACACAACGATTATGCTTTGTCCTTCAAAAGGAACAGTGAGATTTCAATTTGATCTTGTATTTAGCATAAAAATACACCTTTTCTGCGCATCCTTTCAAATGAAAGTCACTCAACCACTGGTAAACCGATCCAGTAGCATGTCCAATGCTAATATCAAAAGCTTGTGAAATGTTTTTAGGCAATCCTTTCTATCCAAAATATTAAAAAACAGTTCACATTACTAACCTTTATACAAAGGCTCAAGTGAAATTTCTTGTGTAGGTGTTCATAGTAGACTAAATTATGAAGTTTTCAAAATATACAATGAAAGGGCACACAAGATTGGCAGTTTCTTTATTGAACATAGAAAATGTATAAAGTAGGATGTATGGAACAGATCTAAATTGCTAGACAATCAAACCTGAGTATTATTTAATAAGACTAAATGTATTTTCTGACAACTGAATGAATTGACCTAAAAACATCTCCCCTAGTAACTAGTGGTCCTTTTAACCATTTGTTGAAAAATGCAAGAGAACTGTAGCTTTTACATTTCATATTGGATAGCAAGATTCCACATAGTGTTTACTGTTTTCTGTTAGATAGCATCACATTGCATCATATCCCCATTCAAGCCTTAAGCTGAGTTTTGTTTCAAAGTAAGTTGAAAGTGACACCAAAACATAATAGGCCAAGAACTAGGACAGGTCTTTTTCTTTTCCTCTAATTTGTTGTAAGATAAAAAGCCTCAGCCAGTAAGATGAATTTGGTTTCATATTAGAGCTACAGAGCAAAGATTGACCAGTATCCTTCACCAAGGTAGCTAATGTTAGCTGTGTATCTCAGACTAGTGCCAAAGTGGTACACGTTGTCAAATTTGAGAAAAGGATCCTCTCTGCTAATAGAATTAGTTTTATTTTAACTGGTACAAAATTTAGTAGCACAAAGTCTTGACAATAACATCAGGAATTCATTTCATTTAACTGACCTGCCCCAATTCTCACCTTTAAATCTAACAGATATAATAATAAAAAACCAAAAACTTTCTGACAATAGAAAACATACAGTACTAAGAACTAATAGCTCAATGGAAGACTGAAAAGCAGCATTCATTGTTATTGTAATATGGAAGAGAGTAGAAATTAAAGGAAGTCTGATCTAAACTCTCAGTTGAAGGCAGATTTTGACATTCTATATAAATTTACAAAATAGGATGTATGGATGAGATTTGGTTAATTTCAGAAGGCACCTCAAGGCTAAAAGGCTTTTATAAATCTATAATCCTTTCATTGATCAAAAATAAAACATTTTATTGCTGCTATTCAAATAGCAAACAAAAAGCTTGTCTTGTTCTTCAGTCTAACAAGGAATCCTCCCCCATTAAGCAAGATTAAATTACAGAAAATATAGAATAAAACTGAAGATGTCACAACTTTAGAAATACAGTGACTTTCCTTGTGTGCTTTCAAGTCAGTGAAATAGTGAAAGAAGAGTCACTTTTTGCCTTTGTGATGTTAATAAACTATAGACCATGTCAGTCACTCTGCTCTGGGCACTGAAGTACCATTTCGTCATCGCTGTCCCATGTGCAGTACTCTTAGGAATAGAAGGTAAGAACACTCTGATGATTCCCACGAACAAGGAGAATTGGTGGCAGATCTTTAGAAAGAGCTTCTAACCAGGCCATGTATAGTGCACTAGAAACTGCACCTTTTCGTGCAACTGGCAAACTCCTACAATTCACAAAGAAAAAAGTATTCAACAGTTAGAAAAATATGGTGAAGTACAAGTCATATCATATAAATATGAAAGTATGATTCTACAAAGAGGTAGATATTAAGACAAATTTCCTAACCTTTTTAGGTTTTAGGGTTTTTTTTTCCCCCCCCTCAGAATTCGGTTAATGATTTGAGAATTCTATCTTAAGCACCAGAGGCCTTTACATCTATCTACCCCTCACTTTTGGCCTCTTACCACCATTACATATCAGGTAGCTTCATGGAGAATTCTCCTCAGTTGAAGACAGTTTCTTGAAAGACTCTTCAAGATTTTAAAATACAGCTTTTTCTTACAATGCCAGGTTGGTGCAGCCTAATATTCCTTCTCACAATCCTTCCAAAACATGTCATACTCATTTCTTTTGTAAAAACTGCTGTAAGTCTATTTGCCCTACTCAAACTTCACTCGTAGTACTACTTCCTGGAGCTCTGAAGCAGGCTCCTAAACAAAAACACAGCAAAGAAACCTACAATCTGCATTCTGCTTTTTTACACCAAAAGTAATTCCATGGAAATCCATCAGCAGGACAATGATCTAGCTTTATCTATAGATATTTGCTAGAAGAAAACTGAAAGGAAGGACCTGAAAGAGAGGGGAATAGTTGGTGTGTGGGAGTGGAAGGAATGTGAGAATCCTGAGCTGCACTACAAATGTGGAGGTAACCACCTAAAGCAGCGTATCAGAAGAACAAAACCACACAGACTGTTTTTCATTCATCAGTATAGTAGCTCCATATTTCTAACAAATACTTCCAGCACTGAAAACTTCTTGAGTATTTGTATACTTTAACACCAAGGCACAGGCTTTTTCCTAACCTGTACCTATACATATTTATATTTCAAATTACAGTCCTATTATATTAGGATAACAGTACAAATCATTTACTTACATGACAATTATGTTAGCTGTACTTGAATGTTCTTTCAGCAACTCATTTAGCCTAATCTGGCGATAAGTCTGTAATTAAAATGAAACTTGTTAGGAAGGTCTTTCATATAAAAACTACAAAAAGTTAATTTATTCAAGAAAAATGAAAAACAGTTATGATCAATTGGTATGAGTCATTTATAGAAACATGTACTTCCACCTCAGTTTGGCAACTTGTTCACTTTTCCAAAATACCTGTGGTTGCAAGGCTGGGAGAGAAGAAAGCAGTAAGCTTAAAATGTGCAAATAAGCCAAAGTACTATGAAAGCTAAATTTAAGATAGTTCCTCTAATAGCGACACCATCCTCCATAGCTCCTGGAAGCAAAAGCCCCTTATGCTCTCTTCAAGGTTCTTTTAACTATATCCTATAAGCTCATAGTGAGCAGGTCTTACAGAGGTAAAGCCCCATCTTCATCTGGTAAATGTATCTCCATAATGGGCCTCCATTTTTTTACTACCCTGTTCTGTCTTAACATCTGAGGTAGCCTCCTCAGTAATTTTTGTTCTCTTCTATGTCAACTAACTTTCTAGCAAACATTTTGAGTTAACCATTTTTTACAGTTCCATTGTTCTCAGATGAGCTGAAGCCTAGTTAGCCTGCGGGCTAGTGTCTGCAGAAACAATTAAGCTATCAGCAGACAAAAGAATAAATCACTTCAGTTATCTCACTGAAGTGAGTTTTGGCAGTATTTGTAGACATGAGGAACAGCAAGGCATCAAGCAGTTCATTAACTATAAAGCAACTGTACTTCACAAAATCTTCCCTCTCCGGTCCCTTGGTAATACGCAGTTACAAGATCTCAGCAGCAGCTGCCAGTCAGTCTGTACCTACCTGTTAAACAGATTCCTCTCCCACCAAATGACCTCCCACTCCCAAATCCTCCCAAAAGTTGTAAAAACCCAGACAGAAAAAAAGAAGATAAGGGTGCAATATACTCAGGACCGTCTTGAAGAACTTCAGATCACTGTCTGTCTTTACATACTTGTCTGTATCTGCATCCTGTTATAGGACGCTACCTGAGTCTCCTCCATAGAAGCACTTGAGGAGGAATACCTCTCATGTCTCTATAGTGCACAACTGCTTGGGAAAAGTGCCAAACCTTTAATTGCTCCTTAACACCACAATTAGATGGTTGGGTTTGGTTTGGTTTTTTTTTTTTTTTTTTTTTTTTTTTTTTAATAACGAAGCAAAAAATGTTAGTTTGGTCAAAAAAATCAGACAGACAGCCGAATATAGACTATATTATTCTAAATTAACTGCTGAAATACTGTAGAAAAGCAGTTTAGCCTCCCCCACCCCACCCCCTGAATGCAGAAACATTTTTTGTTTGTTTGTTTGTTTTGTGAACCATCTGAATGGTTTTAGATGCTGCTTTCCATCAGCTATTCATAAAAACAGCTATGGAAGAGAGAGTAACAAGAATGAGCTCATTGATATTACATCCACAAATGCAGTAGGAGAAAAAAGTTTAACAACATTTAACATAACACTAAAGAATACAGAACCTTTGTTTTGTAAAGCTCAAGTTCATTATCTGTTATCCTCCATGGTTCATCCTCCTTCATTTTATCTGCAACTTCTTGTTCTTTATCATCTTCATGAAGTCGGAAGGGCTCTATCATTTCTTCAAAAGCTGCAATACTGGAAAAATTAAGCAAACAGCCATATTAAAACAGATACGAGTATATGTCAGCAATGATTTTCACGCTATCAGAAAGTAAGTTTTATTACCATGTAAAAATAAAGCAAACTGAAATTTTTTCACTGCCAATTGTGGTTAGAACATCAAATCGGCTATTTCTATACACAGACATAATTCAACAAACAATTAGGGACATCTGTAGGAGCTTTCACTGTTCATCATGCAACTAAATATAAAGTTTGAGGAAAAAACCCCCAGCTTCATTGTTAAGAGTTTTACTGCAATTGTTTGAAAGTTGAAGAGTACTTCCTTAGAAAATGTATAGTAACTAACAGTAGCTTCTTCAGAATTAAATTTGAAAGGAAAGAGTTTACATGTCACACTAAAATAGCCAGCTATGAGGTCTCCTGCTAGTGCCATTAGGAATTTGGCTTTGATATTTTTATTTTGCTTCTTTTTAATCTTTCCGATACAGTCCAAGAGCCACATTCAAATGCAAATAACCATATCTATCTTGTTTAGTCTTCCTGTTGCACTTGTTAGAGTATGAGGCATTACTTTGAATTTACTTCAACTTTAGCAAGAACTTTGAAAGAAAACCTTCTAAAGACCAAAGAGGCATTCATTTGTACTAGAAAGAACAACTTACATTACCCTACTTTCTCTACCCACATTAGGATACTTGAAGAGCAAACAAAGGCTGCCACAAGTTATGAAAGTAACTTGCTTCAAATAGCCCTAGCATATGAGATGCAAGAAAAACGAAGAAGATTTTTAGCAGAACATACTGGAATTAATGCCTTACATCCAATGAAATAACTGCATTTTGATGCTATTTGAATGTTTTGGGTTTTTTTTTTTTTTAAAAATAAAGATGACAAGGTATGGCCAATCTTCTGTGGTTCCAAATTACAGCGTGGAAAGTTTAACATACATTGAGGAATACTTCATAGGATATATTGTAGTATCAGTATGGGTAACGTGTTAGACTCAATACAGTTAAACACTCCCCCCCATGCCCATTTGCTAACTGAGATGTTCCTGTTCCTCCAGGAAACCCCCACACTACTAAAACAAACTTTTTTTTTTTCTACCCTTGGTGGTCTTTACTGAAGGTAGTTGATACAACGACTGCACCTTCATCAAAAGGGAAAAACCAAATGTGATCTGCTATTTTTTGGCTGAACAAAAAGGATAAGTATTAACAATATTCTATTATACAGCACAGCAACTGTTAAAAATAAATCATCTTCCTCCACTTAGTTTACAGCTATTGTTAATGCCAACTGGTATCTTAAAAAGGTTTTGGATATATTGTGGGGAATGTATCCAGAGAGATAGAAAAAATGCTATCAGAAGACATAACTCATGGGTCACTTCTAAGAAATAAAAATAATTCCATGCAATTATACAATCTCAACATTTTCTGCATAAATTTGTTGTACCTCTAAGCTTATACATTTTACAGTAGCATGCTCCCAGGAAGAAGACATTCAAAAGCATCAGAGTGCCAGAAGTACTCTACCAGTTTAGTTGCTTGATATATTCTATACATTTAAGAAAAGGTGATTAAAAAGCAGGGTATAAAAGAATCTGTATTAGCATTTACCATTTATGTAAGTTATAAAATGGTGTTTCCTGATTTGCATGACATGTCAAATTATTCATATACATGCATATCCGTGTAAAAGATATTTTTCACAGCTTCAATATACTAAAAGGGAGGATATTTTTGGATCTTGCACATTGTTATAAATTTCTACTGAAAGCCATCTACAATTAATATTTAAACCTGAGAATCAGAAATATCACATGTATGATCATTCCTGTGTACATTGAAAGTCCAAGCAATGAAAAAAAAAGAAAAAATAGATCAGGCTATTTGAAGACCAAGCTTGTTACAGTAAACAAAGACTCCAAGTAAGACAAAGACCATTTAAGTTTTTTTGAGCTTTCTTCTTTTTTTAAACTGTGTTCTTCTAAATTTAGTATTACAGTCTAAGGGCCAGATATTTAAAAAAATACAAAACTCTATGTTGTTGGATGTAGGAGCTATTGCTGAATTTATTTCCTGCATTTTTGTGAAACACTGGATGTCACAGGAACTACTCTATCAAAACTGTTATATTGGAAAGAATGAAGTATTTAAATTCATTAAAGACATCAAGAATTCAACTAACAAGTAAGTTGTTTTTCTTTCGAGACTTACTTTTCTTTCTTTGGCTTAGTATTAATATCCCCAAGTACCATAATGTCCGAGAAGTCTATCCGAAATTTGCTGAGCAAAGTAGCCATCCTGTATCAGAAAAACAAGCATTTATGCATGATCAATTTTTTATTATTTCACCGGGTAAAACAGCTATGTGTTTGGTAATAAAAACACAAGTTTGGGGGGGG